AAAAAAAATTAAATCGAAATATGTCTTCTATACCTTCGCAAAACAATGAATTATGTTATTGACGATGCTAGCATCTAATAATGACAGTTATTGTCTCGTTGAATTATTTTTATCATTGATACCGATACATACTGAATGTCACATTTTATTTTAACAGCGCGTAATTGCGAACATTTATCAGCGGCAAATTTTTCCGCTTGCGAACGATAAAAGCAACACACCCATCACGAATCAATCTCCACACTAACAAAACAAGAGTATTTCCGTGATTTAATTTTAACAATCGATTCCCCGATGGATATACGAGATAATCAGGAGACCTTTGATAGTTGTTATATCATTTGACGATCATCTCATATCGATATAGTATCGATATTAACAGAACGAATAAAGAATTGATAACAGATTCACTGCTGGATTCTACTGCGTAAAATCGAATAATTAAAAGAGTTCTTTTTACACACCTATTGTTCTCGAAGTCCAAGTCTATTTTTTACGTCCGTCTCGCCTGCACTGAACGTGTGTCTGACAAACTCGACTCGAATTGCGATACCAATGCGTGAATATGCGAATATCGTGTGCAAGCTCGCACATCGACTGTGTCGCGCGCGAACAATCGCCACGAACGTAGATTCGTGCGAGGTAGCACGCAATCTCGTAGTATCACTTTTTTTTCGTTCATCGGTCTTTTACACGTATATGTGTCGATCAGCTAAATAATCAACAACTTGAGACTACGAATCCGATATACGCAGAAAAAAAAGAAAAACATAATTACGGAAAGTGCTGAAGGATATTTCGAATCGGATAAGACATGATTGATAAAATCGTTATGTAAAAAAAAATCAAAAAATCCTTTTTATTTAACTGAGATATTATGTCAGTGTTGATTGACAATTATGAGCTAGGTACAAACATATAAATTGCATAATAATTTCACACACTGCGGTGCGATTCTTTTCAGTTCTACGTAGTTACGTTGTCGCAACTTCGTTAGAGGCAGAATTGGACCCGTAATGACACATACAATAGGTCTGTTTTTTATTCCTTCACTGGACTGTACTAGAAACTCTCTTTCTCGCTTTCATCAAATATCAAACATGTACTTTAATCAAGAGACTAGACTACGTAACATCACACGTTGGACGAATTGAAATATACAAACATAAGTAATAAAGATGTACAACGTGCGTTAAATTACTGAAGTACTCGTGCTGTTCATATCCTCTCGTAACTGTGTCCGATCCCGTACTCTCGCGCACATCAAGCTGTATTCCAACACGCCGATTCGAATATTCATCTCGGAGATTTCATTCTTCATTCTCGTGATCATTTTCTTTATATTAATAAGCGGCGCTGTAAATACATATTAGAGTAAAAATTAGATATTTGATATCTAATACATTTTAGAGTAGAAACATAGAGTTAATACATTTTAGAATAAAAATTAGATATTTGAACCACGTCGGAATAATATCTATCTCTCTCTAAATTCTTTGGAAATCTCATTCCAAAGAATCTCATTCCAAAGAGTAAAAATTGAACCAGTTAAAAAAAAAAAGAGTAGCTCAATTTTCAATCTTTAAGAGTGAGATTTACTCTAAATGTTTTAAAATAAATTTATACTTACTTCCATCAGTCATGCTGGAACCTCTCTCATCCATTTCCCTCTTCACATGTTCCAACTCCTCCACTAATTTATTAAGAACACGCGTTCGTTCGGTAACACCACCACTAACGTCTCTGTATTGTTCCTTGACTTTCGATAATTCTTCCTACATTAATTATTATAATTGACATGTCACTATCTGTATGTGTAATTTAACAATACGTATAAAAAATTTAATATAAAAATATAATAAATTTAATAATATAATAATATTTAAGTTAAATATAAAAATATAATATTTGAAAATATAAAATTGAATAACTCACTTGCAACGAGCGATAATCTGTTAAAGATGGTTCAAGTTGCTTGTTAAGATAAGTTTCCCTAGTCTTAATCTTGTCTAAAGTATTCCCGATATCAGTGTAGATTTTGTTCAAGTGGGTCTTTGTACCGCTCAGATTGGTCGTGATATTCGTACGCAATTGTTTCATCTGCTCGAGATGCGCTCTCCAATCTCTTGAATCTGCGATAAATTAAAGTATATAATAATGCTCGTTTTACTTAATCGATTTTCATTCAAAAATATTTACCTGTCTTAACAGTCACTTTCAAACGAGGTAGAACTTTTTCTAATTCTAATTGCCACTCTTCCCTATTAGTCGTAGATTCTAAAATGCTGTCTAATTTTTGCGTCTCGCTCTGGAACGTAAAAAAAGCTAGAGCTTGATGATTTTAATATATTAATATTAACAATATATATATATATA